CAGGGAAAAACCCTTGCTGCTGAACTTAAGGTGGTACAACTGGAGAGGAGAGTCCCATCCATACAAAGACAACTTGATGAACATAAGCTGACATTCGTTATGATTGAACTTAGAGAAGAGCGGATGAATTTGGGGACCAGAGCCCTGTCTGAGTTGGGGAGGGGAGGCCTGGTGGAGCTTCAGGAGGCGACAGGGCTAACATTGGTTGAGAAAGAGAGGTATTTGGGGGTTAGTATGACCGCCAAAAATGTGAATCTGCTTAAGGACAACTGTGAAGGATGTTGGATTGAAGAGAAGGGGAATTTGGAAATATGGACAAATCAGAAGTTGTTACTGTTGGGCCGAGTCGTTGTGGTGGGGATGGGGGCTGCTGTGTTGCTGGGGATGTTGCTGTTGTTTCAAACATTGCAAGCTCTGGATGGGATGGAGGGTCTCAGGAGGTGGCAGAGGGATGCTCCTAGAGTTGTTTGGCAGGGCAGGAAGCCTCGAGTTAAGCTTAAGATATTGATGGATGCTAAAGAAGGAGGTGGACCTGCCCTGCCAGACCTTTAAACTTCGTTGTGAACCATCTGCCTTTTGCTGGTTGAGAGAATGGTTGCTTCTTGAAAACACCGAAGTGTTGGATAATGGCAGATGAAGTTGATGGACTATAGGGAATTAGCGAAAATGACTGGCAAGATCCGAGACCAGGGTGAAGAGTCGGTGGAAGAAGATTGGAAAAAGTTTAAGGACTATTTATAGAAATATTGTAAAATTAAGGATTGTTAGAAAAATGTTGGAATGAAATTACATGGCTTTAGTAGAAATGTCATAAGGAATTAAGTATAAATAGATTAATAGAAAATTAAAGGAAAAGTATGGCAAGAATGTGTTAAGATAATTATAGAACAGAAAACAGAGTAAGATGGAAAGGAATTGCTGAAACAAATAATAGAAGTAGAATACAAAAAGGGAGGTGTGAGGAAGTCGCTGGAAATAAGTGAATGAAATATAAGATATTGAAAATGTCTGAGGTGTTTTTAAATTGTTTTTGTTTGTTTTTGCTTGATTTGTTATTTGTATTGTTTTTTCTTTCTTTTTTCTTTTTCTCTGTGTTTGTAGTGCTGTGTTGGAAATTTTGAAAAAGTAATAAATATCATTTTTTTAAAAAAAGAAGAAGAAGAAGAAGAAGAAGCAACAGCATTAGCAGCAGAGGACTGTATATATAGAGAGGGAATCTTTAGAGGGCCATAAACAGCAGTGTGAGCATTGAGGGGAGGACAAAACAGACACCAAGGTCCCTGAAGAATGAAACACTCTCAATTCAGCTGAGTTGAGAACAGCATTACACAATCCAGAGAAGTATAAAATCTGAAGGGAAACTATATTGTGTTCTTTACATTGTTCTGCAAGGGGCATATCAGGTCAGTTCATATCAGAATCAGTGGTACCACAAAGTTTGGGCTACCAGGTTGAGGTGGCAAGCTGTGGCATGCTGGCAATCAGGGGAGGCCAGGTGGCTGCTTCCATTTTCATTAAAAACATCATAGCAAACAGTATGACTGTGATCTGAGCTGTGCTAATCAGGTGCCACCTTTAGAATTGTGGGGCCAATCAGAATAGGAAGGTTGGCAGCTGGGCACACATTGGAAAAGAGTGGTGGCATGCAGGTAAACTTTGAACAGAGCAAAGTAAGAATTCAGGAGAAGAGTGACCTGACATTGCTTTTTATCCCAACTGCGATTCACAAAGACTGGATTCTTCAAGCACTTGTTCCTCAAAATAACAGAGAAACATCAAGAGGTGTGTGCTGCTGTTGCTGCGGACTTTATCTTTCTCATGGGCTTCTGAGAAGAATCTGGCTGGTCAGTGATCATCATGGCAAGCAAAAAGCTAGACTAAGTAGACCTTAGGTCTGATCAAGAAGTGATGCATTATTAGGCTACAGAGGAAGAAAATGGGTTCTTTGCCTGTCTTTTGTTACGTCTATCATAAAAAATAGTCTGTTCAGTTTGTGGTTTTGTTTTTTTGTGTGTGTGCTCTTCTGTCCTTTGACACATAGTTGAGAGATATAAAAAAGGAAGATGGAAAACAATTTCATTTTACAGCAGTGTGTACCAGTGTTTACCAGAAGATGCACTAAAGACCATGAAACTTAACTCACTGCTTAAGATTCCTCAGGCAAGTCTTTTTCCTGGTTGAAGTGGGCTGTAAATTCTGGAAGCACCACAGCGATATGTGGACCCATCCTGCTCTTGCCCGCATACTAAAGCTAATGAGAAAGTCATGATTTTCATGGTAAGGAGCTGAGATAAGTCAGAGCTGAACCTAGTGCAGCAGAGTTTAAGTTTTAAATTTGGTAGTAAGCATGACGGAATCTGTCAATTTCAGTTTCTCACTTTTCCAGTCTTAAATTAAATTCTCCACATTTCCATATTACTTTGCAATTTCTTAAAAAACACAAACCCATAAAAATTCATCAGAATTTTAGTGTGAGTTGGCTCTGCTTGTCTTTGGCACATGTTTCAACTACAGTGGTACCTCGGGTTAAGTACTTAATTCGTTCCGGAGGTCCGTACTTAACCTGAAACTGTTCTTAACCTGAAGCACCGCTTTAGCTAATGGGGCCTCCTGCTGCCGCCACACTGCCGGAGCACGATTTCTATTCTCATCCTGAAGCAAAGTTCTTAACCTGAAGCAGTATTTCTGGGTTAGCGGAGGCTGTAACCTGAAGTGTATGTAACCTGAAGCATATGTAACCCGAGGTATCACTGTACTGTTGGTCTCCCTGCCTTTTGCAGCACCTGTCTCAATATTCGCCAGCCACTACAGATATTTGGGCTTATTGGGAACTGGATCTTGTTCTGGAATGTTACACTACACATTCATTTAATGTATGAAGGCATTTGTCTTTGAACACACAAACACAAAAACACCCACACATGCAATGTGAGGTCCTTGTTGAGAATCACAGAATCATAAAATAGTGTTCATGTGATTTCACTGTGTATATTGATTACTATAGTTCAGCAACTGTAGATGAAAAGGGAGAACACCTGAGAGAGGCAGTATGATATATGAGGCAATGGATGACCTGCCTTCAAATCTCTGTTTTGCCATGATGCTCATTCTGTCACTTTGGACACAGTCTTACTGCAGTCTTACTCATCTTCCAGGATTTTCATGAGGATGAGCTGGGACAACTCAAGAAATTATTTGTAGGAAGTGGGACTAAAGCGATGAATAAACTGAAAACAATAATAGTTACGAGGTGTGCCAGTTACATCCTATGGACACAGTAAATTGTCTAATACCAAGTGAGACTACATAAGAATGTATGAGCAAACCAAAGGTTGGATCAAACAAAATGACCATCTTGTTTAGCATGCTATTCTCATAATGGCCAACCAGATTGCCCATGGGAAGCTTAAAAGCAGGACCTAACTGCAAGAGGTCTCTCCCCCACATGTGATTCCCAGCAACGGGCATGCTTCATCCAACAATGGAGGTAGAACATGGCTAGATGGCCTTGATAACCTTATATTCTATTAATTCGTCTAATCCACTTTTAAAGCCTTCCAAGTTGTTCATCTAACCAGTGGCGTAGCATGGGGGGTGCAGGGGGGCCCGGCCGCACCGGGCGCAACATCTGGGGGTTAGGGTTAGGGGGCGCAAATCCATGGGCTAGGGGGCGCAAATTACTTGCCTTGCCCCGGGTGCTGACAACCCACGCTACGCCACTGCATCTAACCCAGCATTGTTGATTCTGACTGAAATGAACTATCTGGAGTCCCAGGGAAAGGACTTCCTCATCAGCTGCCTTCTTATCTAAAAGCAAGCAAGCAAACTATGTTTGAACCTGTGGCCTCCAGGGTACAAAGATGTGCTCTTCCCCTAAGATTTATCTGGTGATTGAAAACTGAAATTACAGAATCGTATTGTTTCAAGATGGTCTGCGTTCTTTCCAAGTATATTATTTCTTTGCATAAAATAAGGGGGAGTGAGATATTTTATCATAAAGACACAGTGTTCTCTCCCCCCACCCCACGTTTCTCCGTTTATTCCTCAAAGCCTGCATGACTGCAGAATATCCAGATGGAAGTAAAGCAGAGGAAAATGCTTTAATAAGCTACTAAAACAAGAAGTTACAATGTGCTACTTTTAAAGCATGGATTACTTCTTAATCTCAATTCCTACAAGAAACTTCTGAGTAGTTTCCTTTAATGAAACCATTTTGATTTTTATATTTCTAAATTCTATATGCAATTCATTCCCTGTTGCATTTCTGGTCTAATCCTGAATCTTGTCCCTTTTCTCATCTTTTTCCCCCCTTACTGAACTAAAATTCTAATAGTTATAGTGAAGCAATTTTCTGATGCAGCAAACTATTTTCACAAACTGGGTCGTAGTTGTAACTTCCTCTGAGAACTTTTTGCATGTTTAACTAATAGTTTTGGTGAGTTGGTGGACAAAAAGAGATGTGATTTTAAAGCCCCTCCCAAATCTCTGATGTTCCTGCCTACCTTCATCATCTGAAGGCAGCCCTGTTTAGGGAAGTTTTTAATGTTTAATGCTGTATGGTGTTTTTAATATTCTGTTAGGAGCCACCCAGAGAGGCTGGGGAAACCCAGTAAGATGGGCAGGGTATAAATATATTATTATTTTACTTAATATATGTGCAGTTTTGTGTCAGCGTCGCTTGTACAGGTTCTTTGCTATTCACTTGTGTTCCTCTCCCCCTCCACCTCTCTCCGCCTTTTCTTCCTAATGTCTCAACAAACAAAACTGATCTGTAGGAAGGACTGTAGGAGAGAGTGAGGGCCTGGGCCATACCCCCTGGGCCAGTTGGAAAAGGCCCTGGAAGGGAGCAGGCCCTGCAGTCCTCACCACAGCCGATGGGCTGCTTGTTCTTCTTTGATTGACATAAGCAATACAGGGTCTTTTAGCATCCTTCTGATAAACCAAAGATTCATAGCATATAGCATTCAGCTGCCACACTGGCAAATCAGGTGCTCATAAATGGTAAGCCCAGAATGGGAAGGACTGCAGGTAGAGCATCTGCTTTGCATTCAGAAGGTCCCAGTTTCAATCCCTGGCATCTCCAGGTATGACTGAGAAAGAACCCTGTCTGAAATCCAAATAGACCAGTTTCTAACTCATATTCATGGGTTGAACTATACACATACAAGCATTGTTGCTACTGGTTAAGAATTTAAGTGAACTGACAATTTTTTTTATTTTATTTTTTGAAGAAGAAAAATCATTATTGCAGTCATTTTAGGATGTCAAGGCTAGCTCAAACAGAGATCTATTCCTAGAGCATGCTTTTGGCACTGAAAATTAGCATCCATCTGGGTGGGTGGCTAAGATAGCCTTAAAATGTTGATAAATGCCCTCCATCACCATCAATTCCAACAGCAGATTAACCGTGCGACAACTGCTCTCTTCTTTAATTCGATAAGAGACACCTTAGAAAATAGGTTTATTGAGCTAAATCATTTCAATATACATTTAGGAAGAGGTTTCCTTTAATGGGAGGCAAGATTAAAATGCGTGATGAATTTGGAGACCAACTGGCTTGCAAGCAGTTTGGATGGAGAAATGCCTCATCGTTGCACTAGGTGCCAAAAACATTTGTATTTATGGTAACTAAAATTTGCTCAGCCATTTGTTGCTAGCAATTTGTAGCCTTGCAGGTGCTGACCGGTGGTTGGAAATACACACACACACACACACACACACACACACATATATATACATATATATAATTGTTATGCTGTATTAGGCTCTGAGAGCAAAGCAACTAAGCTCAGACAGTTGTACCACAAGTTTTTGACTTGCACAGAATTCTTCACTGACCTGAATTAGAGAATAGGTCTGTTCACACAAAAAAGTCGTCCCAATATGGGTTCTCTTTCTGTGCTTACTTGAAATGGAGATATTGGTAAGGTTAGCCTTTAAAGATGCAACATACCTATGGGGTGAAGAAGACATGGGGAACAGTTTGTGATCAAACACAAGGTTACACAAAACACTTTATTCCGCTTATGGTCAAAATTCCTGAATGTCATGTGGAGATAGCAGAGATGAGGGAACAGATACGCTCTAACACATTCCATGGTTCAGGGCACCAAGAGCTTTAGGATATTGGAGCACTTCCATTTCAGAACACCGCAGACACCAACTTGGAAAGATCTCACTCACAGGTAAATCTTTCTCTAGTTGTTAGTAGTTCCACAATGGTGGTGGTTGAGAATACAGATGTCACCACTGTTGCTGTGGGATGGGTGAAGCTGTCTTTTTTAAGATTCTCAGTTTTTTGTATTTCCAGTCTTAAGCTTAGTTCTACAGATGTTAGCACCAGTTTGCAAATTGCTTTTTTAAAAAATCTCATGGAAATGCATTAGCATTTTTGTGTGAATTTCTTTTAATGTATTTTGTGTGTGTGCCGCACAACCTGACATACACAATTTTGCAAAGCCATCTTCCCTAGCACAAAACCCTTTGCATGTTATTTTTACAAATATATGCAAAAAAAATTGCACACTTTTTTGCCAGTATATGCATTTTGAACTTTTAGTGATTTTCTAAGCCATTTTATTCTGATCATAGAATCACAGAATTGTAGATTTGGAAGGGTTCAGAATGGTCATCTAGTCCAGCCCCTCGCAATACTTTACAATAGCAGGTGTAATCGTTCTAGGGGTTGCTCGTGCGTAAGCCGGTGCAAACACCTGGCTGTGTTGCCTGAGTGAACCTTTTCTGTCCGGACAGGCACTCACCTGTGGCTGTCTCAATCGCTGGCAGAATCTGTCAGTGGGCGTTTCTTAAACTTCTTCCAGCAAAGAAGCTCTTTGACGCCTAGTCTCCTCCTACTCTCTCTGCGCGAAAGCCTTCTGCGCAAGGAGGGCATAGGCAGCGGAGGACCCCTACTCTCCCCGCTGGTCCCCGGCAAGGAGTCATGAGACCGCCTCGCCGCTTCCCCCACCTGCCCCCCTTCTCCACTGGTGCTACGCTGATTCTCTTCCCCAGAAGATGGGCTGCTTCTCCCAATCCCGGGACGCTCTCTGGAATCCCTCTGGATTTTGCTCTCTCCCTCCGGCACTGATGGCAGTTCCCTGACAGCAGGTAATGCAAGGATGGAGAAGCTCTAGCCCTTCAGATGTGATTGGACTTCTACTGCCATCACTCCCAGCCTGAATGATCAATAGGCAGAGATTATGGGGTATGTAATCCAACAACATATGGAGGATCACACATAACACATCTCTGACTTAAAGTATAGATACACCAGAGGTATAGATACACCAGAGAAGTCAGAAGCCATGTAGGTGTGGGTGAGAAGCAGTGGAGAGAGATGTGATGTTAAAATAGGAGCAATAGGCAATAACCATAATCCATGGCTCATTTAGTCAACTATCTGGAGAATCTGAGCATCTGCTGTCTCCACCACAGGATCATGTGTCTTACAATGATACGTTGAAACAATTTAAAAGATATATCAAGCACAAAAAGAACTCAACACAGTGGGTGTGGGTGGGTGGGTGTTTGTGTCTCTGTGTATATACACATGCACACACATAGTCTGCTCTGATAAGAAACTAATCAGCAGGCGAAACACCAACAGTTCCATCTTGCAAACATCACCAGTTTACCAAGTAGCTGTTTGCTACACATTAACTTTTATACACAACTGCTTGGAGGTTTGAAGGACAGAAAGGCCAAAGAGCAGGAAGAAAGGTCAAGCCAGATAAGTAAAAGTCCATATTTCATAGAATTACTGATTTACTTATCACTTTTCCTTGTGGTTTGACAGGCATCCAAGTGATTAGGTTAACTCCTTCAAATAGATTTATAGGCTCCGGAGAATTTTTATTCAATTTACCCTTGGGGAAAAGTCTTGGCATAATGTCTTTATTGCTGGTGGTTGTGATTTTTTAAAGGTCTCAAGGAATAATGAGGAGCAGAGAGTGATGTCAAAGGCATTTGGTTACATTCAGGGATTCAGTAAGAAATATTTACAGCTGCAGAAGCATTTGAATGAGAGACACATTGCCGTCTGACTCCTTTGCTCCACCAGCGCACACAATTAATGCTGTAGTCTCAAAAACCAAGTGTGTGTATCAATATAACCTTGCATACACTTATGCTTCCTTTGCTGATAACTGTGACATCAATGTGAATCATCAAGCCAAACAAAAGAGCAATCAAACCTCAGATGGTTAATCCAATTGAAAATAAATTGCAGCATTGTTCCTTCAAAAATAGAAAACCATAGTATAGACTCAACTAGTGTTCACTTTCCATTTGGATATAAAGCTAAGCTTCTCCTAGACAAGTCTCTTTTCAGGGTTGCTGAGGGAAAACAAGATATCACCCATGATCTCGCATTTGATTCCAGGGCATACATGGAAAGAAAGCTAAAAGGCTCAGTTTTTAAGAGAGAGAAACACCTGATAATAAAACTGATAAATGTTTGTAGCCTGTGTGTCGTTCCAAATTGTTGTTGTTGTTTAGTCATTTAGTCGTGTCCGACTCTTCATGACCCCATGGACCAGAGCACGCCAGGCACTCCTGTCTTTCACTGCCTCCAGCAGTTTTGTCAGACTCATGTTTGTTTGTCATTCCAAATGATGGTCACTTAATCCAGAACTGATTTGGTATGTGCTTCAGTTGTGACAACCCATGGGTTACTAGGAATGAAGCCCAAATGGTACCTTCAATTGTCTGGCTTCTCCTTTTTCAAGTGGTCTGACAGGTCACACTCTACCTTGTAGACTTGCCATGGACAAATTTAACGATGTTTGGAATTCATTAGTCTTGTTTATAAAAGTACTACATAATTTCTCTTTATTCCTGTTACTTACCTACCAGGAATATATGTCCATTTCACCTAAGGGTGGCGACAGAAATGAGTAACAGCTAGTTGTTGTCTTTGATGAGATTGAGGCCTCAGCCCAGGAGGTGGTGGTGTTACATGAAACCTACAAGCATCTCCTTTCACAATGCCTACTAGCTCATCCCAGCCTGTCATCTTAAAATTTACCAGATTCAGTCTTCGGCGGCCAACAGTATTCCCCCCTTGCCCACCTTAAAATAATAATAATAATAAAAATCATCTAACTTGATGAAGAGTTCTGGATAACTCTAAAACTTGTACACTATTTTGTGATATTTCAGTTGGTCTTATAAAGATATTGCCCTAATATGGACATTTATATTTATTTTTAATGAGCCAATGCAGCCAGTTTAATTCTTTCCATTTGCTGAATATCACCATCTACTCATTTATTCCCCAGTCCTCCCCAATCTGTTATATGTACCTTTCCCTTCCCAATCTACCTCTTCTCATCTCACCCACTGTCAAGATTTAGACTGTATGTTTCTCATATTACACTGCAAAGCACTATGTACATTGACAGAATAGTAATAGGTGTCCTGCCCAGTTCCACAAGATCTGCCAAGGCACAGGAGAGTGATGAGCAAGCTTCAGGATACAATTCAGGCTCTCCTCTCTCCCTACTTCCAGTATGTACGGAGGCATACAAAAAAAATATTAACTGGATACAAGCTTCATTTTGTAGTCTGGATTTATTTATTTTTGGGAAATCACACATTACCCCAACAGAAAGAAATGGTACTAGGAAACCAGTGCTTCCAAAATTATGATTTTCCCTTTAATCTTTTCCTGTCACCTTTGATGATGTGTACAGATCTGAGTGCTATTTGTCCTTCATTGTGCCGGCTTGCAAGCTGGAAACCCAATTCTTAGCCTCGGGTGCCTACAAACAATAAGGTGTTTGCTGTCGATATGTTTTGTTGATTCACCAGGGCGAGCTAAGCTATGAGATGGGAACTCAGCTGAAGTGCTTCAGTGCTGTGGGATTTCATAAAACCCTGCAATAGACAAGGAGGACATCAACACACACTGCAGTCCTCTTTTGAACTGCAGAGGCTCTGATCTGCTAGGGGAGTGCGACAAGGCAGAGTGTCTCTCCAGCTTGATCCAAAGAGACTGACTATTAGCTAACATCCAGACAATTGGCTGTTATTAAACCCAACACACATACACCCCGCAAGTATCCCCAGCCGTGCTTAATGTGA